ATTTGTATCGACCATTTTTTGGTAACACTTATAAAACTGTGTGTGTTTTTTTGTAAAAATTATTTATTTTAGTAATCTTTAAACACAGAAAGAAAAAGTTTAAAGAGTTGATTGTGAGCTGTGACTAGCATTTGCATTTGCATTTTTTCTTGGTCACTAATATTTGCTTCTTTTTTTTAATTTTGTTGGATAGGTTGTTATTGTTAAAGTATTGTCTTATTGAATGATTGAGGTTACGGAGATAATATATATATCTATGTACAAGAGAGGAGAAGTCTAGGTTAAACTAAATACAGAAAGTTCATATACAAGATCAATCAAATATTGTGTATTAAAAGAGAATCCTTTCATATCTCTTATAGTTATTGTATTGCTGTTCTGGACAATTTTAAGTTACCCCAAAAGAAAATGACTATACAATTTACAAGATTGATCAAATTAAGACAATTGATATAGTATATGAAAGTGAGGAATGCGTGCTATAAAATGTAATTATACAATTTCTTGTTTTGGCCTTGTGTGAACACCGGACCACGATACTTTTAAATAATCCAATCTAATAGTGTACGGCTTACATAAGAACATGCATTGTATATGAAGAGCTAATTTGTAGGACTTTGGGTACATTCATAAGCATGGCGAGTGGGAAGCGACTAACAAAATCAAGACTCAAACAAAACAAGAACTTGAAGCAAAAAAAATCGAAGTTGTAACCAAATGGTTTTTGTTTGATGTTCCGTATATCATTTTTCATGGATGTATAGATTTGAGTCATTTGACTCTCTTTTTTTGTCAACTTTTAAATGGAAATTATAAAACGTTTGACCAAGTGTCGGATTTGGAAAACCCTATCACCGGCCAAAAATATAGAAAGAAAATCAAATGTAAATCAAACCTTGAAATACTTTTTTTTTGTTTTGTCAGCATGAAAATCAATTAGTGCATGTGGTGTTTGGACATCCAACCGATTCCACAAAAAGTTAAAGGATCGACCGATTTATATTAGTATATCTCAAAATTTTATAGTGATATTCCACGAAACCAACAAAATGTATTCATTAATCGGATAATTATGAAAAAAACATGAGAAATTTCAAAAAATGCCATTTTTCAAGTGACACTTTACAAAAATGCCACACTTTTGAAATCTTTACAAAAATGCCACTTTTTAAAATTATTTTTTCTTTATATAATTTATGTTTGGATTAATTATGTTCTATTAGGATTTAGTTTTGAGTGTTTAAGGGGTTTTAGGTGTCAAAACGTTTTTTAGGGTTTATAATTTTAAGATATAGGCTTTATAAATCTATAATTAGT